TTTTTTTGAAAGATATATAAGATCAGTTTTACAGAGACAGAATTTTAAAGGCTGAAATGAAACAAGCAAATCATATCATCAGTCTTACTGGAAGACTAACTAGATTCAGGTGACGACAGGCAAGCATTCTTGACTTCTTCAAAAATTTTTCCAGGAAGAAACCCCTAAGAGATTAATTATTTATTTTCAAAAACCATAAAATAGAAAAAAATTGGGCTGATGTGTCGAGAACCGGCAGCTATATCTTAGGGCAAATTTAGGAGTCTTTTGCGACTAAGGGCGCATCACTTGCTGATCTAAACGCTGGCAATCCTGATACTCCTTTCCACTGCTTTTCACTTCATTCTTCCAACGGGAAAATGTTACATGTATGGAATTTCATGGGACAGCTACAAGATCGCTGAAAAATAGCGCTTGGACTTCCTGATCGCGTCCATGATTGCCATCAGTCACCGAGGGTGTGCTAGGTATTGATCGAAATGCAGTTTTTTGTAAAAACTTTTAAAAAGTTTATTAGTAAACTGATGGGCTAGAATGGGCCAGAATACTGCCGGGATGGGGATTAACAATTTGAAAATCGAAATGCTGCAAAGCGGAATAGAAAATAAAATCTAAGACTTGAATTTCCTTCGCATTTACTTTATGGGAGAAGCGAAGGCACTCGAAAACAGGAATAAAAATAAAAATTTAAAAACCGGAATACTACAAAACGGCAGAGAAATTTTCAAAATTCGGCCTCTTCCCTTCGCTCGTCCTACCCTACCCACAGTGATTCTCTGTAAGAAGGCACTCGGCAATATAAAAAGAAATAATATTTCAAGTTAATAACTTGAAAAACACAATACTGAAAAACAGAATAGATGTGCATTCTGGTGGCAAGCCTTCCCTCCAAAATGTTAGATAAATCACCCCCAACCGCCTACACTTCGTCGATTTATCCTGGTCAATGCGGTAAATCACTGAAAGCAGAATATGCAAATTTTGAAAACTGGAATGGAGCAGAACAAAACAAATAAATAGCGGGCATTTTACAGTAATCCGTCACAGTCGGGATGTGCTATAATCCGCTTTCGATGACTGGTGCCATGCGCTTATCCTTCGCCGGCAGCAGCGGTTCGGTGATGTATGAAGGCGGAATCCGTGCAGCGTAAAATCGTCGCCAGAGGGTTGCGATCAACTCGCAGGTAACAATATCGCCTGAATTGGCCTGCACTAGACGAAGCAAAAATAAGCCGTCCGGACGAAGTGTCTCGGCAACGAACTCATCGATCAGTGCCCGACGACTTGCACTTCGGGCAGATGACGGATCAATCTGAAATTTAAAACTTCTGTTTAAATCGATTTTTAGAATTTGAACATCGAATGGGGTTTCGAATTTGGAGGAGAATTCCATGCTGATAAGCATCAAAAATCTTTATGCAAAACATACATGAGCAGCGATCGTGAAGAGAAATTTGTTGAACTGGCTCCCTTTTTGGTAAACTGGCATTTCAATTATTAATTTCCAATTAATTTTGATATTGGATTATTGTCACCTAGTCCAGTTAAATGAATTACTGAATCCTAAAGAAAGAATAACAAAAGCAACCTTTTCGAGATAATTTCCGACCATTTGCCGGCCAGTATTATTTGTGAAACTTGTGAATAGCCATGAAAAGAAGCTCGTCATACTGCAAATATTTTACATTTAAATTCTAAATTTATTTTCTGACTGATAATTTGGGTTTGCAGCAATTTGTTTTCTGATATCTATTCTTCAAATTCTGAACTTTTAATTGTTTGATTTGAATTGCATAGATGTTTCGAAGTATTTTTCCACCAAATCATTTAATGGTAATGTGAATTTACACTGAAAAATGCCTGATTTTTCAAGAAAGTAAGACCTAGCTTGTCTGGTTCTCAATTTGGCAATTTTCCCGTCAAAACTTTTAAATGTTCTCATGCGGTGCTCAGAAGTGCGTGGAAGTCGATACCATTCTTCGGAGTAGATAGGAAAGCCACTGGCAAAATTTCAGCGTCAAAGCTTGCTTGGTTGCTGAGTTGAAATACCCGGACAGATGCACACACACATGCGCCATCGCTTATCACAGTGTGTGTTTTTACACTTGCATATATGCAAAAATACATAAAAAGTCAAAAAATTTACCTCATAAGAGCAATAAACAATAGCCAGAACCATAGAAAAGTGAATATTTTTTCATTAAACATATTGATCATTAGGACACATTGTACTGTATGTCGGTGAAGATTACCGAGTACGCGTACCTGTAATCGTTTGCTTTTAAAGTTTTACCCGTCTACTAAATTGGTACTAGTTAAGACTCAACAGGCTTCCGAAACTTCTTCCATGTTTCACTCTTTGTCAGAGATCGAGGCATTCGTAAAGCGACTCAAATAGTTAAATTCTGCCAAAAGACTGACCAACTAGCAATTTAGAAGAGGGCTTCTTCTTCGGAGGGCCACTTGAGATTTAAGATGAAAAAGGTCTAACTTCTCTGAATATTAGGAGGAATATGATATAAGTAAAAATCAATGAATCATATTTTCTCAGGGGCGAATTCGAGCCGACAAAAC